GGGCCCGGAGGGCGCCGACTCGGCTCCGGCCCGGCCCGCTCAGGCCCGGGGCGTCTGGGCGGGCGCTGGAACCCGGGTGCGGACCGCCGGCATGGCCTTCACGTTCGCCGCCTTCTGCTACATGCTCTCCCTGGTCCTGTGCGCCGCGCTCATCTTCTTCGCCATCTGGCACGTGAGTAACGGGCAGAGCTTTCCAACTCGCCTTTCCCTCCAAACGGGCGCCCTCACCGCTGCCTCCTCCCCATCCCTCCACAGTGACACCCCTGGTCCCCACTCCCCCTCTGTCCCCCCCCTCGCCCCTGCAGATCTGCCCACTCTTTTGTCTCTGGGCAGGGAACAGTTGGAGGGATCCTGAGCCGAGCCCGGGCGTGCCTTCAGGGCGCCAGGGTGCTGGGATGAAGGCCCGAGAGACCCTTGGCCCAGGGCCATGGGCCCCTTGCCAGGGCCTGTCCTAGCGCCCCGGCGGCCGGTGGCTACAACTCCATCCCACCCGCAGCCTTTCCCCAGCCTCTCCCCTCCTGCGGCGGGAGGAGAAGGAGAAGCGCCGCTGACGGGGCCGGCAATTAGTCAAGTAACTATAACAACTAAACATTTAAAATGTCAGCATCTGCGGTGGGTTGCATTTAGACATAATTGGAGACAAAGTGGAAACACCACGGGAGCGCCTGGCGAGAGGCAGCCTTGAGACGTTGGGACCAGGGAGGGATGGGAAACTTAAGAAGGTGGTCCGAATGGATGGTGAGGGAGCCAGAAAAGTGAGGAGAGGGGAGGGGGTTGGGGAATGAGAGGGGTAAATAGGGACCTGGAGGAATGGCGCCAACAGAGAGGCCAGCACAGAGCCCCTTTGAGTGAGGATGGTTTCTTCCTCCGCCCCCCAGGAGTCCAGCAGCCCCACACCCGCTTGAGGCCCTAACAAGACCAGCTTCCCGCGCAGACCCCCACTGCCCTCCCGCATTCTCAGGGACCCTGGGCCGGGCACAAGCTTTGCTGACATCCTGGGGGACAGGGCACATCCTAAAAGGTGACCCAAGTTGAGGACAGCCATGAGCCCCAATTCTGCAGGGCCGGGGCTCCCCGTGTGGGAAGAGGGAGCCCCAAGCTTCTGAACAGGAGAGTTAGTGAAGGGAGGGACAGATCAGGAGGAGGTCCATTCATTTCTCAGAGATGGTGGTGTAACATTTGGCAAGTGGCTTGAACTCTGGGACCTTCAGCCCCTGAGAGATTGGATGAGCTCCCTGCCCTCACCATCAGGAGGTGGTTGGGAGGCACTGCCAAGGTCAAGTGCTTTGGAAAGCCCCGCAGTAACAGCCTCCCCTGCCCAGCAGGTGGAGGCACCAGGGAGTAGGACCCTGAGCGGAATCCTAGAAGCAGTGCTGGAGTACCCAACAAGTCAGGGGGGCACAGGCTCACTTGTGCTTACTGACGAATCATAGCGAACAATTCGATATTTTTCAGCATATCAAAGGTTCTGCTTCTAGGTATGGCTGGCATCTGCCTCTCTCCCAACCTCATAGCACCACCTACAGAATCAAAGCCTCTCTTCAGCTTTACAGTGCCTGACTCCTGGGGTCAGAGGAGTACCCAAGTATGCAGGGTAAGCACGGACTTACTTGGGCTCCTATATCACCACATCATGTGTCACATGCCCTTCACCGCATGATGTGGAGAAACAGTACAGAGCAGTAGGCAAACACAAGCAAGCCTGTGCTTACCCTGTGCACTGGGTAAGCTGTCCCTGCCTGGAGGCATGCTTTGAGTGAACCTGAGAGACCACACGCTGTGGGGAAGGAAGCCCCAGACGAGGACCCGAGGAAAATTGCAGGGTGGGTGAGATGCTGGTGTTTTGTGCAAGTGGGTTCCAGAGGGTTCATCTTAAAATAGAACTAAGCAGCTATGGAGTTCAGCTGGAGCAGCCTCTGCTAGAAGGCGCTCTGAGAGGGAGAGAGAAGCCCACAGCAGGAAGGCTTCTTACCTTGCCGTGTGTGTGTGTGTGTGTGTGTGTGTGTGTGTGTGTGTGTGTGTGTGTGTGTGTACCAGAACCCCTGAGGACTTTAAGGCACTGATCGTTCAGAAGCAGATCACCAGACCTATTCTTCTATGGGTAGATTTGAACCACCAATCTTCAGGCTAGTAGTCAGCTCTAACCTGGAAGCTGCAGGCACGAACTTGCTGGCCTTATTCATTTCTGTGGTGAGAAAGTCGACCTAGAGGCCTTCTGCGCTTCCTTGCCCCTGGGATTTGGTTGATTCAGGAGCCTGAGAGAGAAGGATTTGGACCCAGGGACTGTATGGCTGAATACAAGTCCTGGGCGTTTGAGGAGTAAAGGGATTTAACCTTCTCTCTTCCTCTGCCCTGACATGGTGGATTTAATTGTTTGGACACCCTTCAGGTTGTCAACAGTTATTCCGGGGAAAACGCAGTTTTACCTAATTTAGAATTTTACATGGTAAAGGGCACAGAGAAGAACACGTCCCACCGAAAAACTAGCACAACAGCAACCACCCTATTGATGTGTGAGTAGCCCTGCCACGAACAGCACCGGGCACTCCGCTCTTTGAGGAGCTCTGTCCCGAAGAGAGGTACAGCCTTTGAAGTCCAAGGGAGCAGGCTCTGTCCCCTAGGGATGCTCTGAGTGGGAATTCCCTCTGTGGGTTTTGGATGCACGTTCAAAGGAGCTCTTTTGGCTTTGAGGGGTTAGGTGTTGAGCTGCTATAGACAGATTGATGGTTCAAACCTACCAGCTGCCCGTCAGGAGAAAGATTTACAGTCCTGAAATGGGCGAGAATTGATTTAATGATAGTGGGTTTGGGTTTGAATGTGTTTTAGAGGAACTTCCTCTGTCTTGGATTTGGGGAGTTGTTTTCGCATGATAACTACTCCTTTTCTTCAGTTTCTTCCTTTGCTTTCCCTTTCTGAATTTGCCTTGACCCAAAAAGAGGGTGGGCCGGGGCTAGTGGGCTCCAGGCACCTGGCTGGCTTGGCGTTCCTAGAACTAGCCCTTTGGAGCCCAGCAAAGAATCTCCTCTCCCACTCAACGGAAGATCATAAATAATTCAAGAACAGGTTAATTGAGTGGGTGGTAGTGCAGGTGGTTGATTAATAGATATTTAAATAAAATTCAGGCGTTTTGTGTTCGGCTGCATTCTCTAGCTTCCCAGCCCTCCCCCCCTTGGCTGCAGGTGACTGGATGCGATTGAATCCCAAGTGTGGGTCAGGCCCTCCCCGGGGCCCTCGTGAGAAGGGCCACATTCCAGGTTCTGTTATTAAAAGCATCCTGTGCTGGTTGAGTTCAACGACAGCCCTGTTTCCCAAGTCTGAGTTCTGCTTCCTTTCCTCCTCCGTTCTGCCCCCCTCGTTCCAAGCCTAACCACACTGAAGCGGTTTCTGAACACACCCCGAAACACACAGACTGCAACGCACTGGGGTGTGTGTAGGTGTTGGTTAGGGTGGTAATTAGGAGGTAAATCAAGAAGTATTGCTGTACAATCATGTAAATTTCTATGAAATGAAAATATTTTTAAAAGCGAGGCTGTTCTTTCTTGACATATCTCCCCACGCAGGTGTGTCCACTTGTGAAGGCGGGGGTTCCACCTTTCTAACATTTCCTTAAAGGATTCTGTGTTCTTCCACATTAAAGCCACGTTAAAACCGCAGGTGTGGCATCGTTGAGGGACTCGAATCAGGCTCCTTTTCAATGTCCTCTGAGTGGAGGGAACAAAAAGAAGTCTGAAGGGGCAGCAAGATCAGGGCTGTTGGGCGGATGGGGGAAGGTTTCCCGTTGAGATTTTGCAGGAAATCCTTGACTGCCCTTGAAGAAAGAGCAGGCGCATTACCGTGATGGAAAAGAAAAACCAAAAATCCTTCACTGCACCTTTTCGGACATTTTCATCACCCAACACAGTTGTCCATTTTCTTAAAACTTCTTCAGAATAAAACCCTGTGATCATTGCAGTCCTTCAAGAAAACCTGTCAAGATTGCTCTTGTGGAATCAAAAAAGCAAAACTAAACACCAGCACCTTCCGAGCTGAACTCTCTGTCGTGAATTTAGCTGTTCCCGCCGACGCCCCTGGCAGCCACTGTTCAACTGGACCTATTATTTGAAGACACCCTAATGAGACAGACAAGCGTATGACTGAGACTTTGTCTGCGGCCACCCACTGAACACAGAGACATGTTTACACATGCTTTGTTTGGAATCAACCTGGGCCTGTATGAACTAGAATCATAGTGGTAATGCTTTCTGACTTATGCCCCTAGGTCACCGAAAACTTAGGCGTGTTCTCTGTTAGACTTTGCATTGGTCTTTTCAGCTTCATATATCTCTCATGTATTTCTTGTTCTGATGAATCATATCAAGTGGTTCGCATCCATTGATTGACATCCCAAATCACGACTTGGACACTTACTGTGTAGCACTTAAAACAACGTATCTCCTTGCCATGTCTAGTCTGTAAGCTATAAAGATGGCATGTTTGCTTATCCAATCACACGTGCTCACTTAGGAAGGAGCCTGATGGTGCAATGGTGATGTGCCCGGGTGCTAAGTGAAAAGCTGGTAGTCTGAGCCCACCAGCCACTTGGTGGGACAAAGACCTGACAATCTCTCCTAGGAACCCCATGGGGCAGATCTGCGCTGTCACACGGGGTCACTGCGTCTTGAAATCGGCTCTTTGGTCCCTCACAATGACAACAGCAACCTACTTATGGGTACAAGTTTCTGGGAGGTTCAGCTGTTAACATGCTTGGTTGCTAATGGAGAAGGGTAGAGGTTTGTTTCTACCCAGAGGCATCTTGGAAGGAAGACTTGACGACCTAATTCCAAAAAATCAGCCATTGAAAACCCTCCGGCGTTTTGTTCTCTCCTGACACATGTGAGCTCTCCATGCGGCAGTCGTCTGGGTGGGTTTCCCTGGGGGTAATCATAGCAGCTGCTTTTTACTGAGGCCTCTGGTGGGCCAGCCCTGCCATAGGCACTTTCTAAAGGACCTCGACGGTGAACAACGAATGGTTTTTAAACTTTTTAATTTTATTTTAATCATTTTATTGGGGGCTCTTACAGCTCTTATCACCATCCATCCATCCATTGTGTCAGCATATTTGTACATTTGTTGCCATCATCATTTTCAAAACATTTTCTTTCTACTTGAGCTCTTTGAATCAGCTCATTTCCC